CTTCCTTCAGTGTTTCAGTCATTCACTCACTCCATCCTTCCTTCAGTACTTCAGTCATTCACTCACTCCATCCTTCCTTCAGTACTTCAGTCATTCATTCACTCCATCCTTCAGTACTGACTCAGTGGAGGGAGGTCAGATATAGCCGAGAATGATGCTGTGTGCTTCAACTTGACTCACCTTCAGTCTCCGATGGAAGAATATACACTAGCAGAACAGGGATGGTGGCTGTAACCAGGGGAACAGAGTCTGATGGGAGGGGGTGTGAAGACATGCAGGTGAGCATGTGTGTGTTAGTTTTTAGACAGCCAAACTTGGATGACGACTCCTGTTCATTGTATCTCAGTACAATGGAGAAAAGTCTCTCCTGTGTGTCAGCCCTGGCTCTTTAAATTGGTCTCTAAGAATCCTAACAGATGAAAGCCTTAACAATCCAACCCCTGCTGTGTGTACTGTGACCATGCTGGGGTGGGGTGATCACCCTCTAGCCTCTGTCCTGGGATCCCACGCCCCATTCTGAGGCTCTCATTGTCACAAAAGAGTGGAGAAAGGAGGAATCTCTCAAAGTCCCAGTAGGGCTGAAGAGCTTCCCCAGGCGGGCATTAAAGTCAAGTGCTCTGAGGTTCCTAAGTGGCTCCTGGGAAAGAGTAGCCAAAGCCAAGAAATTCTCCAAAAAGCTGCCAAGAAGGGGAAGCTCCACCATCTCGGAGGGGTCTGGCTCTGTGGGCAGCAGCTCTTGCGCTGGTCCACATGGTTGCACTCAGCTCTGAATGGTGACCCTAGAAACACTGTTAGTTTGCTTGTCACATGCTTATGTCACTTTCCCAAGAAGACTAGAAATGGCTTGTGGCTGGGACTATCCTTACATCATTTTACTGTGTTCACAGGGGACACTCACAACACTTACCACCCAGGCTCCTTGGCTGTGTAAATATGAAAGTGCAATTTGTTAAACCCATGCGGGAAGGAAAGTCTGTGCTAGTGCCGTCTGAATGCCTATCTACTTGAATTGGTAAGATGCGACAAGATTTAGAGTCACAAGAAGTGCCTTGTGGAAGACACAGGGCATGTAGCCAGCATGGCTTTGATGCAGCCTCAGAAGCCTTGTACCTGCAGCTGGAAAGGACACCAGGGAAGAGCAACTTGGTAGAGTTTGCTTGGGAAGAAATGGGAAACGGGATTAATAAAGTAAATCAGTTTTTAGAAACTGTTTGTCTGGGGGAAGTGGCTTAGCCAATAAAGTATATACCTTATAAAGGTCAGCTCTCCAGCACTGGGATTTAAAAGGCAGGTGTAGTAAGGTCATGTCTACTCCCACTAATGGTGAGCTGCAGGACAAACAAGTGGATACCTACCAGGTCACCTAGCCTGCTAGGCAAGTTCTGGGCCAGTGAGAGACCCTGTGCTTGAGGGGTGACACTTAAGGTTAGACTCTGACCTTCACATGCACGTGCATCTGCACAAACACACACACACACACACACACACACACACACACACACACACACACACA